TGCTATATCCGTATAACACAGTGGTTAAGAGTTGACCTCCTGAGCTTGAAACCTTGCTTCATATTAATCCTGTGGTCTTGGATAACTGGATCTCGGCACTGTGGGATCTTCATCTGTAAAATGGGCACAGTACAGCCCTCTCATAAGTTAATTTGAGATGGGGTGACACAATGCATGTAGTACTGTTAGGACAATAACCAATAAATGATAAGCCTAACATTTTGGTGGATTTTGCAAGGGGAAGAAGTAAAAAGGCTGTGCCCATTTGGCCATCCTGAATTGGCAGACAAAACATGTTTCTGAAGTAGTCAAGAAGGCCCACCTTGTCACTATGCACACCCTTGATGCCCTCGTGCCATCCTCCATGCCAATGACTGACATGTATGTCTCCAGAGCTCCCTCCTGAATCCAGTCTTCCATCGCTGACTATCTCCTTGACATCTCCACGTGCATGTGCAATGCACATCTCAAGTGCAACTTACTCAAACCCAAACTCCTGATCTTCTCTGCCAACTCGTTCCACTCACAGCATTCTCCACCTCAGGATGGAGTTGCCATGCTTCTAGACTCTCAGGCCAAATATTTTGGTGTCACGTTGATTCTTTTCTTTCTCTTGAATCTTCAGTTCATCCATCAGAAAACTCTGGGTACTCTAGCTTCAAGATAGGCCCAGTATTCCACCACTTCTGACCCCACCACCTTCACCCTCATCTCAACTGTCATAATCCTCACCTGGATCATGTAATGGTCTCCTAACTGGTCCCCTCCCCACTGTCTCCACGTGGCTCTCTGCTGTCTAGCCTCAACCTTGTTGAGTGTGATGCTATTTTATGCCCTCTTCCTGGAGCATCCTCCCCCTGACACCTGTAGGCTGTCCATATGGCCATGGAACATTTCATGCCTTTGTTCACATCACCTTCTCCGTGAGGACTTCCCCGACCACTCTCTTTATTGTTGCCGCCTCCCCTGGGCCTCCTCATCACTCTATGTGCCTCTACTTCCTCTTTTTCATGGCACATGCCACCTTCTAAATTATGACACAAGTTACATATTTATCATGTTTAGTGTTCTCTGTTTCTCTGCTAGAATGTCAGCTCCTTGAGGGCAGAATTATTTATATCTGCCTTGTTTACCAGTGTATTCCAAGTGCTTAGCACAGCAAGCCCCTGGCTCAGTTGTAGGCACAGAATATGAATACCTGTTTCATATGAATGTGAATTCTCAGTTATAGGCAAAACTGAGGATGTGCATAGTGGCAAGGTGGGTCTTCTTGATGACTTCTCAACAATTCTCAGTTGTAGGCAATGAATATGAATTCATACTAAATAAGAACACATACTTGGGGAAGGTGTTTGCGAACGGAGGTGAGAGTGGAGGAGCTCCCACGCTGCCTTGCCCCACGGTTTAGCTATTGACGGTGACACCTGGAGGAGGCAGTGTGGCGGTTAAGTACAGGGAGCACACTCTTCTTAAGGGTAAGAGTGACAGGGAGGTCGCTTTCAGAGTGCAAGAAGAGTGACAGGACACATGAGCATGAACGAGGCCTGAGAGTCTCAAGGGCCCCTTCCCGTTCTAACCTTCAGGGATTTCAGGCCTGGGGAGGTGCTGAGCTTCCTGGCCCAGGAGGCATTCCACCATAGGCTGCCTGATGTCTCAGCAGGGATGCTGTGGAGGGGCCCAAGTGTGAGAAAAGTACAAGAAGTGGGTGCCCTTCAAGGTCTTTTCTAATAATAAGACTTGAAAATGAGCCAACTCGCTCCTCTCTGACCATTCCCACACCCTAAAGCCCGAAGCCTGGAGTCCCTGGGTCAGCTGAGGAGGGTCCTCCTGAGCCATTCCCTGGCCCTCCCTACACCCCTGTTACCCCATGGTTATGGTCACAGCCCCTCCTCCTCCTTCCCTTCCCATGAAGAGCTCATTCTATTTTTGGTGAGGCCAGGTGACAGTGACTTTGACAGAGAGCGCAGCCTGGACGAATGGGAGAGAGGCCAGTGAGGGGCACCTGCCTCTCAGTCTTACTCTCCCATGTCTTCTCCCAACTCTCCCCAAGTCACCAGGTGTAGGCACAAGGCCGGCTCTGCACCAGACCTATCCATTGGGTTTGTTCTGTGGTGCTCCACTTAAAGACACAGGTAGATGTGACATTCAGAGGTGTGGGGCAAAGACAAAAGATGGAGAGAGCCATGGTGGAGAGGCGGGAAGGGAGGCTGAGGCTGGGCATGGAGGAACGACCCTGAGGCACCCGGCAGCCTGAACACTCTCATTTCATCTCTTTTCATCATAGTTCTTCATCTTTAACTGCCTGATGCCAGGAAATTGAGAGCTGCAGGATATGCTGGGTCCCACCCAGGAAATTCATATTTATTCAAAGCCTGCTTGTAAGCAAACATGTTCTTTCGTCAATAAGTGACCTGGAAGAGCGTCTCTGGGGACATCACCCCTTTGCTTTTATTTCTCTGGAAAATGACTACAGGACATTCAAATCAGAAAGATTTTATGAAGTTATATAATCCCTGACATGCTGAATGTCTGTATTCCCATACCTCCCACTCCCTTCACATTAAAAAGAAGACCAGATTCTTTTCCATCATTTTCTCCTGGAGTATGCTTTTGCAATTCAGCAGCTGCTCCACTGTAATGATGGGAGAGAAACCAACGAAGGCAAACAGAAAGCAATGCAAACTTTGTAACAAACACAGGTGCTTCCATGAACACCTGCATGGTGTTTACGCAAACCTTATCTCCTTCCAGATGTAATCCAAGCAGCTGTTAGTTCTTTCCCAGTTTTACAGACCAGGTAACCAGAGCTGAGAGAGCTTAACAGCAACGGGTAGTGGCCTGTACAGGAACCAGGCCTTCCGGCCCCAAGTCTCGTGTAATGTTTTCCTGCTTCACAAATGTCTCTGCCCAAATAGGACTCAGTGGCCCATGATATCCACTGAGGACATTTGGTGAATTAATTAAGCTTGGACTCTGGGGATACACAGTTCTAGCTCTGACTTACTATTGTGTGGCCTTAGGCTAAACTAATTCCTTTAAGTCTCACTTCCCTCATCTGTAAAATAGGAATGCGGCAGGCCAATTCTCCCTGACAATCACACAGACGGGCCTGCATAGCACCCAGCTACAACAGACAAATGTCCACCATGCTGCCTTAACATGAGCAAATAGTTAAACCTAGGAAAATCGGGGCCCAGACACCAAAGCTGGAAATGAAACACAAGGTCAATAGGAGCTTTGCATGGGCTTCTCCCTAACCTGGAGCAAGCCAAAATAAAAGGAACAGTTTTACATTCCTAGTGCCAGGACCTGGCTCTGGTCAATGAAATCTAAGACGAGTCAAGGAAACAGAGGCAACTGTTTGAATAGATTCATTAGAGAGTCTATGAGCTGTAAAGGAGAGAAGATGGAAATAATCACTCTAATACCATAGGAGACAGGCCTTGAAGGTACTGGGGTCCTCTTAATCAGATTTCTATTTTTTTTTTTTTAATTTTGCCTCTGACCTTCTAGTTGAAACAAAATTAGTTACCAATAGATCTAGGCGAATGCTATACTGCACATAGGCACATAACCCCAACCTATATAAGCACTAAGAAAATTGGAACACTTTGAGTTGGTCTGGTAGGATTATCTCTCGCCTTCTCACTGTATCCGGTTAAAGCAATACATTCCCTTTTTCCTACTTTATCTGCTTCTCATTATTGGGCCTTGAGATAACACAGCCGGACCCAGCTGGGTTCCAGGAACAGGGACAATAATAGATACGTGTTGCATAGGCCTGTTGTGCCTATCAGATGATTTATGCAAAAAGCCTAGCATACGGTCTGACACATTAATTCTTTAATAAGTGGTAGTTATTCTTATGGCTAGCTCTCAGCTGAGCAGGCAGTATTAATCAGGGGAGACGGGAAAAGGGGAAAGACAGTAAGGTTGGCTAGCTGAGGTGAAATTAGGAGACATGAAACAGGTCAGCCTCTCCACGGATCAGCAGCATCAGCATCCCCTGGGAGCATGTTAGAATCACAGTCTCAGGCTCCACCCAGACCCACTGAATCAGTATCTGTATTTTCTTTTTTTTTTTGAGACGGAGTTTCGCTCTTGTTACCCAGGCTGGAGTGCAATGGCGCGATCTCGGCTCACCGCAACCTCCGCCTCCTGGGTTCAGGCAATTCTCCTGCCTCAGCCTCCTAAGTAGCTGGGATTACAGGCACGCGCCACCATGCCCAGCTAATGTTTTGTATTTTTAATAGAGAGGGGGTTTCACCATGTTGACCAGGATGGTCTCGATCTCTTGACCTCGTGATTCACCCGCCTTGGCCTCCCAAAGTGCTGGGATTACAGGCTTGAGCCACCGCGCCCGGCCTAGTATCTGTATTTTCACAGGATCCTCAGGCGATCCACAAGCACATGAAAGTGTGGGAAGCCCTTCCTCTTGCTAAACAGTTTTCCTCACTCAAGCTCCTTTTCTTATATTATCTCTTATAAAGAGAAGCCAGGATACATCGTGGACTTCCTAGAGAGCACACTGGATTTTATGCCATTTTGATTACCCGCAGTTTTCTTCCTCATTCATTCAGTCAAATAGCCATTGACTACCTCCTATGTTCCAATAGTTTCCTTCCTCATTCATTCATTCATTCATTCAGCCAAACAGTCATTGAGCACCTCCTATGTTCCAATATGTGTTCTATCTGCACCCCGGTCCTCCTGGCCTTGACTTGCTAGGTTGCTTCCGTTAGCATGGGAGGTACCTGTGACCTGGTGTATGAAAGCCACTTACTTGGGCAGGTAGAAATTGGCACATGAGCAGGAGAGACCTTATTCTGGTGTCAAATGCTGACCTCAGACTTTGAGACAGGTGGAGGAGCGTAAAATACAGCCCACGTGGGGAGATCCATCACAAGTCCTGTGCGCACGGGATGTGTGCTGTCTCGTTTGACTGCACACTGCAGTAGCTCCGCCAGCCTGATGGCAATTGAGAAATGCATCCACCAAGCGCAGGAATTCTGTGTCGGAGTTTAGGCCAGCCCCGCGGCTCCTGAAGGCCCGCTCTCCGTTTGTGCATTAAGACCCCCTCTGTCGGGGTGTGATGGGAGCAACCACAGCTGAAGCCCGCTAAGGAAGCCGGGAAATGGAAACGGGCTGCACCCTGGGATGGGAGTGCCTCGCCATTGGATGAAACAACCCGCCAGGCAGGGCTGTAACCAGGAATAGACGGGAGTGGGCGGGGCCCTGCGTTCCGGTCAGACTGAGCATGAGCACATGGAAACGAAGGCCAGTGGTTGTGGCCTGGGGGGCAGCCTAAATCTTCCCGCTTCAATGCTGCTTCTCCCACAAGGGGAACTTTGGGGTGCAGAGGCTGAGACAGCAGCTGGGGAGACATGTGGGCTCATCCGTGAGGAGCTGAGGAAACGCAGAGCGGGGACCTGGCGGCCGGGATTGACGCCACCTTCACTTCGGAGTAGATGACGGGGGAACCCTAGGAGACAAGAGCACCCGCGTGAGGACCAGGGCGGGCCTGGGGGTGGGGGAGGCCAGGCGGAGGGGGAGACTCACCTTGTTCCTGAGCTGCCCGGGGTCAGAGGCCGCTGTGGAAAGAGGAACGTGGTCAGCTGTGGAAGATTGGCGTGGAGCTCTCCCGCTGCACCGGCGCCGTCAGGCCAGCCCTGAGGCTCCTGGACGCCCGCTCTCCTTCCGTGCGGTGAGTCCATCGCTGCTGTCGCTTGGTGCCCACCCTCTCCCGTGCCATTCCTAAGACCCTCTCTTCAACACCCCTTCACACTTCGTGGCCCACTCGGAGCTGCTTAGGGGCGCTCCAGAGAAAGACGTTTGTCTTTTGTTAGTTCTTTGAGCGTAATTGGTGTTATGTGTTCTGGAGAGGCGGCGTTTCGGGTGCAAATTTTAGCACGCTCCATGCGGGTCTAGACCGCCTAAGACTGAGCCTGCAGCCTGCCTTGCCACCTCTGCAGCTAGGGGACGTCACTCAACATCTCCTGCCTCGGTTGCCTCATCTGTATGATGGGAATAAATATCATCTGCCTGTATAGTTTTGGTGAAGCTATACGAGTTTACACGTATGTGTGTGCTCATTTGTCTGTGCATATACTATTTCTATCATCTATCATGTGCTGAGCAGTTTTGATGTGTCAGGTGCAGTCCTGATTGCTATATTCAATACATTTTCTCTCTATTATCATATGTATGCGTGCCATAGTTCTATATATGTGCTACAGGTACAGTTCTAAGAGCTATCCATACAAATATGGTGTATTTACTTATTGCACTTATAGAACTGTACCTGGCACATAATAAGAACTGTTCAACACATGATAGATATTAGAAATTATTGTTATATTATCATCAAACTGGAGGAAAGTATGACATTCTCCAGACACAGCTCTCCCCTTTTGGGGAATGAGCCTTGGAGTGGCTTGGAATGAGCATCAGGACTCCCTGGAATTGCACTGAGAAAAGCAGAGTTTGGTCCAGGGTTTGGACTCTGGAGACAGACTGCTTGGTGATTGTCTGTATGATTTCAGGCAAGTCATTTAAGGTATCTCTTCTTTGGTTTCCTCATCTGTAAAAGGTGGGTAGTAACAGCGTCTACCTCAAAGGGGCTTTTAAGAGTGAATAAGTTCACATGTCTCAGAGGGGTGCTATAGAACCAAGAATGAGGCACAAATAATTCACTTGACTTTATATGAGAAAAATTGGAAAACCAGAGAGGGAAGCTCACTGGCTAAAATCACGCAGCACTTTTAATGAAGCAGAGGTAGAAAGAAAAGCCTGCCCCAAAGGACTTTGCTTCTCTTTCCTGCTCCTAGTAAGGAGGCAGCCAGGCTGGGATTCCCTCATTTCAAACCACTGACTGTGAGTGAGGGCTGATGACACAGCCAGACCTCCAAGCATGTAATCCTCACCACAGCTGCTCCACCCTCTGCAGTTTCAACAGCATTTCCACACGGATTTTCTCATTTTGTCCTCACAGTAACCCTGGGAAACAGCGTCGCTGTGATAATGTGCCCTCAAAGATGTCACACCCTAATCACTGGAACCTGTGAATATATTACCCTAAAAATGGAAAATAGGCTCTTTCAGATGCGATGAGGATTTCAGACCCTGAGATCGGGAGATTAGTCTGGGTTATCCAGGTGGGCCCAATATACTCACCTTGAGAAAACCTTCAAGGACTTTTCTCAGCTGAGGTCAGAGGGAGACCTGACTATGGAAGAATGGTTAGGGAAATGTGACCTGGCTACTTGGCTGGCTTTGGGGAGAGAGGAAGGGAGCTCCAGCCCAGGAAAGTGGGTGAGATCTAGAAGCTGAAAAGGCAAGAACACTTTCACCCCGGGAGCCTCCAGGGATGAAAACAGCCCTGCCAACCCCCTGTGAGACCCATGTCAGACTTCGGACCCGCAGAGCTGTAAGACGATACATTTGTGTTGCTTCATCCCACCGAATTTATGGTAATTTGACACAGCAGCAATCAGAAACTAGTACAGGTAGGTAAGTACTGTGGACTAAATGTTTGTGTTGCTCTCCAAATTCATGGGTTAAAGACCTAATCCCCAATGTGATGGCATTTGGAAGTGGAGCCTAGGGTGACAGTTACATCATGATGATCATGATGATGAGACACGAGTGACGATCTCTCCCTCTCTCTCTGCTGTATGGGGGATTCAGCAAGGAGTCACCTGTCTGGAAACTGGGAATAGGGCGCTCATGAAGAACCTGACCGTACTGGCACCTTCATCTTGGACTTCCAGCCTCCAGAACTGTGAGAAATAGATATTTGTTCTTTAAGTCACCTAGTCTATGGTACTCTGTTAGAGGAGCCGGAACTGACTAGGCAGTAGGAAAGTAGTCACAGTTTATGGATAGAGATACTGAAGCTCTGAGAGATTAAGGGAATGCCCCAAAGGATGCTTTTGTTACTCAGGTTATACTGAGGCCTCTGCAGAGAATGGAGAAAGGAGAGTGCAGGGGAGGCTTGGATTCGCCTGAAGTGGCTTAGGCGCAAATTAAGAAGCCCCATGACCCAGTGGGAGGGGCGGCTTTATGCCTGGCTGGTTCAGAGCTGCTGAGGGGCTGGAAATGGAGCTACACTATCTAAGTTGAGGGTTGGCCAGAACAAAGACTTCCTTGGGTCTTACCGGCATGTTTCTTTTTCTTTTTCTTTTGGATGCTCCGTACTTCTGAGTAAACCACGTCTTCTCTTCTAGGATTTACTTAGAAAGAAATTGAAGTTTCAGAGGCTGCTGAGGTTCTTGCCTCTTGTTAGAGATACTTCCTCCTCCCCCAGCAAGAGTCTCTTTTCTGGAATGACTAGAGCCCTGCAGGCCTAGCACAGTCCCTCCCCATCTCCTGCCCCACCCCTTTCCCACACCAGCCCTCTGGCTTCTGCCAGATGTGGGGTCCTTGGGCCTCACCATTGCTGTACACTGGTTGCAGCTCTGCCCAGGCTGGTACATTGCGGTAGGTGGGCTGCTGGGAGTCTGAGTCTGAAGGACTCCTGTGAGACAGGGAAATGTGGATGTTTCTTAGGAATCCTGACAAAGTAGCTCTAAGGATTACTCCTAGGAAGTGATTTTTTACTGCAAGGTGGCTGCCAAGCCTGGAAGCATGGAGGAGTACACAACAAATGGCCCATTGGCATTTTATCATGAATCATAATCATATTATCTATGTTTCCAGGCTTTATGCTCATCTAGTATGTAACAGGCATTGTGCTGATGCTTATAACAACATGATGTTCTATTTCATCCTCATTTTGTAGTTGAAAGAAACAGAGGCTCCAGGAAGGGACTTATGAATATCATGTAACCAGAAAGGGGATGAGCCAAGGCTCAAAGCTGGCGCCAAAGCCTGCATGCTCAGTGATCAGATGGCTCCGAGGCGCTCTGCATGGTTTGCATGCTGCTATCGTGGGCTTGCCCAGGGATAGCGGCGAGCCTTTGTGTGTCTCCTAAAGTCAACCTTTGGGATACAAGATGGTGACCCCTTCTTCGTAGGGACTATGTCCTGCTGGCAGATTGACCTCTCTGGGTGGTCAAGTTGTGTGGCTCCATCTTGTGATAACCAGTTGTTATCACAAGAGGTGCTGATGAGATCAGCATCTCCAGAGATTTCCAGGTTGACTGATCTAAAGTCATCTCAAGATAAGGAACGACTTGGTGGTCATAGTGGTCACTCAGACAACCAAGCCAAGAATGGTCCAGGGATGTGGGTTAATAAATGAAAAAGCAATTCACACTTGATGAGCAAACAGCCTATACAGCTAAGGGGGTGGGTGCAAAGGTGTTGGGAATTGCCTCGAGATATCTCCGGGGAGGTACAACAGGAAGTGGGCACAGCCCATCTCAGCAGCACCTGGCAGAAACTGTGCTCTCTGCTCTCTTGGTAATCACCAGATTCAATTCAATTTTTCCACTCTGTGGACATTTCATTAATCGCAAAGGAATGCAGCTCAGGTCTTACCTGGAGGGGTCAGAGGCAGGCTTTCTGTCTGTAAAGGAAAGCAGAGGAGTATTAGACTGAGGAAGAGGAGACCCTCAGAGGGGCACAGATCAGAGAAGGGTCACTTAGAAACTGCCAGGAGTTGCTGTCACTGAAGGTTGAATCCTTCTTTGTTATGCCCCAGGGAGGCAGCAGACTGGGCAAAAGCTACTGACCCTGCCAGAGGGGTATGTTATGATGTGAAATGGGAGTCCACATCTGTTATCCTTTAACCTGGAGGTTTTAAAGATAATGATTGGTAGCCACAGGCAAGAAAACAGACTTGATCAGCTGTAAAAAGAGTGTATATTTAAAATATCAGAAAACTACTGGATCCTATCTGGTGCCTATTTTCTGTTTCTCAGAGTTTTTCTCCTCCTCTTCCCATTCCTTGGGGGTCTTGTAAGCTTCCAGAGGAAGACACTGCAGTTTATGATGATAGATAAACTACATCTCATCAAGATTTTCCACCTTATAGGTCTGTTCTGGAAACCGTATTTGGTAAAAGCAATTCTGGAGAACCCAGCGGGAAAGGCAGAGGATTGAGGGACAGAAGGGAGGAACTCTTGTGAGCCTGGGGATGGCCGCAAAGGCAGCGTGAGGCCCGAGGGAGCGCTGCTGGGAAGGGCATGAACTCAAGTCAAGGTGTACCCAGAGTTACCCACCTGCTTTTCTCGAGAGCCAGCAGTAGAGCAGCAGTGCCCCAGCAGCAAGGCCTGCCATGCTGAGCAGGCCCCCGGTGACGCCTGTGGCAACAGAGCCACTTCTGTTTCCGGTTAACCCTGTGGGGAGACCCCACACATGAGCCAGAGGAGAGGCTATGGTCTCAAACTGCCCACCCCCGGTAGCTGCTGCCTGGGCCTGAGGGTGAACCTAGGTGAGCAGGGTCCCAGCAGCTAAGCAGGGGCCCATGTGGCACAGAAGGTGGCTCCCGCCTTTGTGAGGAAGTTGTCTCTGGCCTGAGGCAAGGGTCGAGGGTCAGGGTGGGTGGTGGCTGGCAAGAGAAGAGGCAGCCAGGTGAGGAGCTCTAAAGTCAGTGGTGCTCTTTGCCTCTTGCCACCCTGTGCTCCAGGCCCCTGCATCATCATTCCAGAAGCACTTCAGGAAGTAGCAATGTAGAGAGCCGCCAGCTGTGTTACTTGTCCCTGAGGAGTGCCGTTCTGGTCAAGCACCGTGAGGGTTATCAGAGGGTCCTTGGGTCTCTGTTTGTGGCCCAGGCATGGGAAACTTACCTGTGATATAAAGTGTCACCGCCTCACTGCGCCGGGCCCCTAGGCCATTGTCGGCCTCACAGGAGTAGTTTCCAGAGTGTTCTGCAGTCAGAGAGAGGTTGAAGGAGGCTCCTCCTCCAGAGGGAGCCGAGCTATTCCCCAGGGTGACATCCTCATAATAAAACCAGTACAGGATCGGGGGAGAGCCTCTCAGGACCTCACAATGAAGCTCCAGCAGGTCCCCCACCACAGCCTGGGGCTTGGGAACCCTGAAGGTGAGGACCGGGCGAGACACCAGAACTAGGGAGAACAAAACGTCAATAGCAGTTTCCGCTTCTAACATATTTGTAAGAAACAAAAGGTATTATCAACAAATGTAAAAAGTCATATCTCAATCTCGGAAAGTAGATTAAAATACAGATGATAAAGCTAATTAATTTCACCTACTAATAGTTTTCAGTGTACAAAAAATCCAATAGAAAACTGTAAAAAGATATAAATCACTGAAAACTTCAAATAGACAATAAATATATAAAAAGATTATCATCTTCATTACTAATTAATGAACTACATCTAAAGACAACTATACAATACTATTCTTTTCTCTGTTTTTCGGGTTGGCAAAGCTTACATGGACTAATCATACTGATGAGCTTGTGGATAAACAGGCATCGACATTCGCCCTAGGTGGTAATACAAATTTAATGAACTTCCTTGAATGATTTGTCAATAGCTACAAAATTTAAAGTGCCCATAAACTCTGACCCAAATATACTTGTAGTGGGCCAGGTGCAGTGGCCCAAACATGTAATCCCAACGATTTGGCAGTCTGAGGCAGGAGAATCACTTGAACCCAGGAGTTCAAGTCCTACTTCTAGAGCCATCTCCTTTAGGGATGCTGGCGTAAAATATGCCAATATATTTGTACAAGAATTTCTACTGTAGCATTTTAATAAGAGCTAAAAATTAGAGACAGCCTACTGGATTGGGTAATGAAATACGAACGCTATCCAAGATGTGTTTCTTAAAAGTCGAGATATATATTTCAGTTAAAAAAATGCAACTGGCATAACTATAGGTATAATATTATTCCAGCTTTGTGAAAATTAAATGCCTTTAGGTTTATAGAGTATTCCTAGAAGCATACACATGAAGCAGTTAACAATGGTTATGTCTAGAGAGTATGTGCATATGAATTGATTATGAACAGGTAGAAAGGGACCTTTGCTTTTCAGTATTGGCTCTTTTGTATTGTTTGATCTTTTTCATCATGAAGATTCATGTGTTCTTTCAGAATAACAAATTATTAGAAACTAAAAGGTTGTGTTAAAAAGTGGCCACAATGGATGAGGAAATGTCATAATGTCTCAGACTAATATTAAGAGTTAAAGAGGACCATGCTTCAACCTGGCTTTACCCTTGCTAGCTGTGCATCTGCAAGCTAGTTACTTCACTTCTCTAAATCTGTTTCTTTTCTGAAATAGGGGATAAAATGGCTTAAAATTTATCCTCACAGGTTTATCTTAATGATTAAATGAGATATTGGATATTAAGCACTAACCACAGAGTCTGGAGCCTGATGAAGGCTCAGTGAGTGTTGATGATGACATTGGTCATGATGACAATAAGAAATAATATTTCCTTTTCTGGCAGTTTCTGGTCCCTATGACCTGTGTCCTAGTTTCAGGACTTGGACACAATTTATTCAAGCTGCACAAGAAGCTCTTTAGCTGTGATAACAGCAGCAGCAGAAATAACATGCATTTATCATAGGGAATTATAGAAACAAAGGAGTGAGGATGAGCAGAAAATCATGAAATCGGAAGTACAGAATGTGGGAGGTATGATGTGTTGGCTTGCTGTGTTGCAAGGAGAGACGTAGCAGCCCTCGGTCAGTGCTACATACCTGTATGTCAGCTCTAAGGGATAGGTGTATAAACTGTGTGGCAAGAGTCCCTGCAAATCTCAGGAAAATGGGTTGAGGTTGGTGCTGCTTGTGGGGGAAGAAGAATGGGCTTACCTGTTGGGAGCAGGCCCTAAGCCTGGCATAAACAGGCCTTAAAGATACTGGCCATAAACAGGATATCTATAGCACTGTAACATCCTTGTGATGGCAGTGACACACATTGCTAGAGGTTGTTGGTTTACTGGAGCAAGGGAAAGAAAGACCTAACCCATTCTTGCTCGGGGGCTTCTGAACCACAAACGTTAGAATGAGTGACCCATGCCTTAACGACATGTTCTAGCTGCAGTAGATAAACAGACTGGAGCCTGTTTCTTGCCACTAGTAAAGAATGCTTTGTTCCCTGAGAAGAATGCTTTTAGTTAAATGATGATTATCACTTGCTTGCTGTCAATAAATGTGTGGGTCAAACGCTATTTGAGGCTCTCAACTGGGAATGCTGTGGTCCCCTGTCATCCCACCTTTTGCCTCTATCTCTGTGTCTGTTTCTTAATTCCTTCAGCACCACCTGAGTTGGGGTCTCCATGACCAAGTTGGTCTTGGCACTTACCAAATAGGAAAATCTGAAGTCATCCTCTCTTGGATGCCGATGAGATGGCTGCACTGGCTACCTTGTGAGATGCTGGATCCTAGGTTAGCATGCCCAGATCAACCTGCTTATGTGGCTCTGTCTCTATTCCTATGATACCCAGGCATCTTGCCAAGGGGAATAAAAGCATCAATGTATATTTTGCTTTAAATGACTAGTATGGGGATTGCATACCATTGTATGGTCTCCTGTTTCTCCAGGATATATTCCAAAAGCAGGGACAACCCACATTTACTTTTGTACATCTCCTTCTAGGAACCTGTAAATCTGCATAATCCATATTCCCTGTCTGCCAAAATCATAGAATTCTAGGACAGGGGATGATATGATTTTCATCTAGTCTGATTTTCCCACTTTTTCATCTAGTCTGGTGTGGAAATTGAGGTCAGTATGGGAAAGGCACTTGGCCAATGTCACACAGCTAGTTATCTTCAGAGCCAAGTCTAGAACATTCATCTCATCACCCCTTAGCATGCTTTTGCTAAACCCCAGGTCTCTCTAAACAGTTTGGCTTGTAGGAGGTCATCACCAAAAATATTCAAAGCTCACTAGAAGCAGCTTTCCTTGGGTTATTGCACTTAATTGCATGGGATCAAAGAACAGCTTTGAGAATGGAGGAGTTTGGTTGATAGGTGGCCGTTTCCATTCCATGTCATCCTGCTCCCCATTTTCTGCCCTGGTCACCTGTGTCCCTTGCCTTAAAGATCACTGAGTGTGTCTCCTGAAGAGCTGTGCACATAGCTTATGTTAACATAGGATTTTTAATGTGGAAATGTAAGGAACATTTACATCCCCAGTAATGCAAGAAACTCAAGAATAGAAGCTCGTTGGAAGTCAGTGAGGGAAGAATCTGGACAAGAAGCAGCCTAATATTTTCTAGGGCAGAGAAACCTATATTTAGAATTCTTTGGTTTCACTATCATATAATAATTTCAGTTCAGAATATAGTTTATGTTCTAAAAAGTCTTATTTGCATTTTTAGTGAGGGGCTTTGATCACATTCAAGAAGACTGCTGGGGAACTTCAGATTCCTGGAACCATACCACAAAGGATCCCAGATTTTCACAGGGAGCTTTTGCAGGCAGGAAGTGTGCTAGGATGCCACACAAGCAAACAGCCCTGAGGAGCTCTGTGGCTCCATTGTCAGCTGCGGGAGAGCAGGCACAGTCAGTTCTGGGCTGTGTGGCTGATGGGCTTGGCTCACTCACCTGCAACTTTCAGTGTCACTGTCTCACTGCGCTGGGCCTCCAGACCATTGTCTGCCTCACAGGAGTAGATTCCAGAATGTTCTGTAGTCAGAGAGAGATTGAAGGAGGCTCCTCCTCCAGAGAGGGCCGAGATCTTTCCCAGGGTGACATCCTCATGATAAAATAGGTACAGGATCGGGGAGGAGCCTCTCAGGGCCTCACAGTGAAGCTCCAGCAGGTCCCCCACCACAGCCTGGGCCCTGGGAGCCCTGATGGTGAGGATGGGGCGAGACACTGGAACTGAGGGAAGAAAAACAGTTAACCATCAGCTGCTTCTGCGGAAATATATTCCTTCATGCTAAAGATATTTGAATTGGAAAAATGTTTTTCTCAGTTTTTAATGCCCTTGCGATGTTACTCAAAACTCAGCAATATTTTCAGATCTCCAGAAAGAATAACATTTGTGTAGCACGATAAACAGTTTGGAATACTGAAATACACAAACTCAAATGTGTTTGAGGATTATAAGAACAAAGATTAAACTGACAGGTATCTTAGAAGTCAAAAGACAATTGGAGAAAGGAGGAGTCAGTCCAACAGAAAAGGAAGAACAAGAGAGACTTGCGGCTTATATCACCAGGGATGTAATTGCATTTGGGCTGCATCAGAAATAGGGCCTACAAGAGAAAGAGTATTGTCATGTTATTTGCTCATTTTTATATTCATTCACCCATCAAAAATTAATTGAACAGAAATTTTTATAAATTTGAGCAAAAATAAAAATTAATTGAGCATTTAATAAGTCCCTAGAATGATATTATATCCTAGGGAATCAATGGTGAGAAAGACAGTTCCTGCTCTCATAGAGCCTACCATATAGAAGGATTAGAGGCAGAAATTAAATAAAAATGCAGTAAGTATAGAATTAAAATTGATAATTGATAAAGGACAGGGTGCTATGAAATTTATGTGTTGTCAAGGAAAGCTTCCTCACAAAATGACCTTTGAAATTAGCATTGAAATTAGCCAGTTGAAGAGAGAGGTATAGAGTGCACTGGGCAGGCAAACTGTGTGCAAAGGCCCTGAGTTGGGAGTAAGACTGGCACATTTTAATTATTGAAATAAGGTAGCATCACACTGAGAAGAGTCTGCAAACTACCATGAAATAGGAGGCTGGAAATCTAGGCTGGACATCATAAGCCATGCTAAGAATTTTGATCCTTCTTCATAGAGCAATGGGAAGCCTATAAGTCTATCTATGCAGGGGGGTGAGATGATCAAATTTGTTGCTTTTAAAAGACCATTTTGACCATTGTGCACAAAATGGACTGTGGTGGAATCGAAGTGCAATTGAGGGGTAGAGTAGATGAATGGCATTGCGGTAGTCAAAATGATGGTGGGCTTGTCTAGATAGAGGTGGTAGAGATAAAGATTTGAGAAATATTTAGGAAGTCAAATCAGCAGGACTTAATGATTGACTGGTTGTGAGCAGTGAGGAAGAGAAATGCTGAGGAAGACTCTGTTTCTGCTCTGTGTATCTGATGAGGGGAGATGTGTTTCACAGAGGTAGGAACCTTTGAAAGAGGAGGGGAATGTCAGCAGTTCAGTTTTAGAGATATTCAGATTGACAAGCTTTTGAGGTATTTGAGTGAAGATATGTCATGTGCAGATGCTCAAGTGGAAGGTCCCCTTTAGAGACAGAAGTTTTGAAATCATTATTTATAGATGCCATATGCAGGATCATACAGACAAAGGATTTATGTAAGAGAAGAGAGCATAAGTCAAAGTTCTGGGACATGCCAATGCTTAAAAGTTTTCTATAAAAGGAGACGTCAATGAAGAAGACTGAGAAGAAGTGGCCAGGGAAAGAAGAGAACCAGAAGATGGATTCCCTAAAGGGAGGGCTTCAAGAAGGAAGAAAGGTAAACAATATGGAATATATCCGAGATGTCAAGGAAGGTGAGGATTGAAAGATGGCCATTGGATTTAAAGCCCTGGAGGTCATCGGTGACTTTGGTGAGAAACATTTTGGGAAAACCTAGCAGATTAGAGCCTAGTGGATAATGGGGACACGGGAACAACCTGGGTAGCTATTTTTGGAAGTTAAGCCATGAAGCGGTAGTGTATGGAGGTATAAGTGGGATCAAGAGAGGGTTTTCCTTGGATATGGGAGAGATATAGGATGTGAAATGCCAGTGGGAAGGATCCTACAGAGAGGGAGATGTTGGGGGCCGTAGAGGAGAAAGGGGTAATCGGTTCTATAGCTTCTGAGAATGCACAAAATGATGAAATCTAGAGTCCAGATGGAGATGTTCACCTGTAGGGAAGAGAGTCCTCTATAACTTAGGAAAAGGAGAGATGAGTTTCTGGGTGAATACAGAGCTAGACACTCAATTTGTTGGTGGCAGTGGAAGGAGTTACTGTGATGGAGTAGGGAAGGAGTAGAGGTATTAATGACCTGGGAATTCTGTTCAGGTCTGAGAATAATAGTGATAGGAGAGGTTGATGCAAATAGAAGGATAGAAGTTGTTTTCAGATAATAAGGGCTTAAATGGTCATTTTGGAGATTAAGTAGTATATGTATGTGGGAGTGGCTGACTGGTGTGGAGAGAATAGACCATGGTGTTAAGGGAGTCATACATGTGGCCATGAGAGTCATGAAATGATGACAGATTGTGGGGTAGGGAGGAAGACAAAGTGCAGTGCCAAAGCCTTCACTGAGAGTGGGCGTGACTAGGAGTCAGCCTATGACAAGGATGCATGGAAGATCATGATGTTGTTTAATGGAACAGGAAAAGGTAAGGAGGAAGGAGAAGGATGTCTTCTAACAAGGGTCTTGGGTGGGAACCCAAACCACTCTGGGACAGGGGCAGGAGAGGCTAGAGAAAAATGTGTGAGCCAATAAGAGAACTGTGTTGGTCTTTTTATTGATTGGCAGACAGAGAAAACCACAACTAAATCTCTTCTAAGGTGAAGCACATGGAACTTTATAACTTTCTTACTATCACTGTTGGCAAGAATATAGTTTGTATTTTGAAAGCCTTTACTCCTATGTTAGGGGAATTTTGGTCACGGTGGCTGGACTGCTGCTAGCAGGAAAAGTACAGCAAGAGAAGGGAAGGTGCAAGTTCCTGAATGTGTAGGATACAAAAGTCAGAGATGGAGACTGTGCAGGTGCCAGGCCTAGCAGGATGTCACACAGCAAATGGCTCTGGAAACCATAGCTCCAATCTTAGCTATTAGGAAATTTGGGGGAGGTGGTCTGTTTCTTTTTGTGCTGCTGGTTGGGTCAACTTACCTATAACACTGAGTGATACTGTGTCACTGTGCTGGGCTATCAGGCCATTGTTGGCCTCACAGGAGTAGTTTCCAGAATGTTCTGCAGTCAGAGAGACATTGAAAGAGGCTTCTCCTCCAGAGGGGGCTGAGTTGCTCCCCAGGGTGACATCATCATGATAAAACTGGTACAGGATCGGGGGAGAGCCTCTTAGGGCCTCACAGCGAAGCTCCAGCAGGTCCCCCACCACAGCCTGGGCCCTGGGAACCCTGAGGGTGAGGATAGGGCGAGACACTGGAACTGAGGGAGAAAATGAGTTAGGGACACATGTATTTTTAAAATTAAAAACAGCTGTCTGTCCTAGCCAGAACAATCAGACAAGAGAAAGAAATAAAGGGCATGCAAATTGGTAAAGTTGCTGTTCACTGATGATATGATTGTATACCAAGAAAACCCTAAAGACGCATCCAAAAAGCTCCTAGATCTGATAAATGAATTCTGTAAAGTTTCAGGATACAAAATCAATGTACACAAATCAGTTAGAACTGCTATCCACCGATAGTGATCAAGCGAGAATCAAATAAAAAAATTCAAACTTTTAAATCACACGAAAAAATCAAATACTTAGAAATACACTTAAACAAGTAGGTGAAATATGTCTGTAAGAAAAACTACAGGACACGGTTGCAATAAATCATAGATTACACAATAAAATGGAAACATCCCATTCTCATGGATGGGTAGAAACAATGTTGTGAAAATGGCCATCTACTAAAAGCAATTTATAAATTCAATGCAATTCCTATCAAAATACCATCAACATTCTTCACAGAACTAGAAAAACCAATCTTAATATTCATATGGAACAAAAAAGAGCCCACATAGCCAAAGCAAGACCAAGGAAAAAGGGCAAATCTGGAGGCATCAAAATACCCAACTTCAAACTATACTATAAGGCTATAGTTACCAGAACAGCATGGTAGTCACATAAAAACAGAAAGGAAGACTAGTGGAAGGAGAGAACCCAGAAATAAAGGCAAATACTTATAGCCAACTGATTTTGACAAAGCAAACAAAAACATAAAGTGAGGCAAGACACCCTGTACAGCAAATGGTGCTAGGATCATGGCAAGCTACATGTAGAAGAATGAAAGTGGACCCTTATCTCTCACCTTATAAAAAAATCAACTCAAGATGGGTCAAAAACATAAATCTAAGACCCAAAACCATACAACTCTAAAATATACCAAGAAAAAAAAAAAAGCTCTTTTAGATGTTGGCTTATGCAAAGAGTTCATGATCAACAAACCAAAGCAAATGCAACAAAAACAATAATAAATACATGAGTCTGAATTCAGCTAATAAGCTTCTGCACAGCAAAAAACAAAACACAACAAAACAAAACAAAAAAACAAAACAAACCAAAAAACCCAGCAGATAAACAGACAACCCACAGAGTGAGAGAAAATATTCACAAACTATACATCTGACAAGAGACCAGTATCCAGAATCAACAAGGAACTCAAACAAATCATCAATAAATAAATAATCACATCAAAAAGTAGGCATAGGGCATGAATAGACAATTTTCAAAAGAAGATATGCAAATTGCCAACAAACACATAAACATGTTCAACATCACTATCAAGGAAATGCAAATCAAAACCACAGTGTGATACCACCTCATGCCAGTTGCAATAATGGTGTGTATGAGTTTCTGTTTCTTCTTTCCCTGGTCATTTATGGTCATATCAGTGCACAGGTTTATTTTTGTCATTTATTTTGTCAGTCCTAATATCTATGGTTGCTCCACTTGAAGAATTCACTTGTTTTATCCTATGTGACCCTACAGGCTGCTAGTTGGTTTTCCATGAAATTTTAGTGAAGTATAAACTATTAATGATGAGTTACTGTTAGCAAATTATTCACAAACGATTTACAAAATGGATATTTTGAAATCTGTCATTAATTTTTAAAAACTGTCAATTCTTTTTGAATTGTGAAATAATTCACAATTTACTCTGAAATAATAATCATGAGAAAATGATTGTTCCTTTACTTACTCTTCTTCCTCCGACCAACTGATTTTTCTTTGTTACAACTTTTTACATCTTCAGTGTTTACACTAGTTACTTTCTATTCTGTCACCATAATTCTCACAATTGATTAGCCTTTGTTTCTATATCTAAATCAGTGGTTTCCAATCTTGTTCACACAATATTCTCACCTGAGGATGTGTCAAAAAATATCAATTCTGTGGCCCCATCTGTGAGATTCTGAATGAATTAGTCTGGAGAGGGGCTTAGTAATGTGTCTTTTACAAAGTTTTTGGGTGACTCTAATGTACAGCCAGGGTTGAGAACCAGTCATCTACATAGATTCAGAACTGGCTTTTCATAATGCTGTTTCCTCATTATGAGTCCTGTATGTTCATTTGCATCTTGTTGGGCTGGATTTTGTCACTAGGTGATTTTTTCAAGAAGGCTTAGTGCATTCTCAGTTTCCTGAATCCCTGTATTTTTGATAATGCTTTTTTGATTTGATATTAAAATCTGTGATTCCTCCCTCTGAAGGTCCAAGTCTGGATATCATTGCTCTCTTTGGCATTGAGTGCTCTGCAAAATCTAAGACTAACTTAATATTTTTATTTCTGAGATGATTGCATTTTTCCCTATAATCATACACACATACATATATATATATTTTGTTGCACTTTAGGTTCTGGGGTACATGTGAATAACATGCAAGATTGTTGCATAGGTACATACATAGCAATGTGGTTTGTTGCCTCTATCCTCATCACCTATATCTGGCATTTCTCTCCATGTTATCCTTCCCCAACTTCCTACCCTCCACTGTCGCTCCCCTAGTCCCCTGCAACAGACCTCAGTGTGTGATGCTCCCTTCCCTGTGTCCATGTGTTCTCATTATTCAACACCCACCTATGAGTAAGAACATGTGGTGTTTGCTTTTCTGTTCTTGTGTCAGTTTGCTGAGAATGATGGTTTCCAGGTTCATCTATGTCCCTACAAAGGACACAAACTCATCATTTTTTATGGCTGCATAGTATTCCATGGTGGATATGTGCCACATTTTCCCCGTCCATTCTATCATTGATGGGCATTTGGGTTAGTTCCAAGTCTTTGCCATTGTAAAGCACTTGCTAGTGCTGCAGTGAACATATGTGTGCATGTGTCTTTATAATAAAATGATTTATAATCCTTTGGATATATACCCAGTAATAGGATTAATGGGTCAAATGGAATTTCTATTTCTAGGTCCTCAAGGAATCGCCACACTATTTTCTACAATGGTTGAACTAATTTACACTCCCACCGACAGTGTAAAAGTGTTCCTGTTTCTCCACATTCTCTCCAGCATCTATTTTCTCCAGATTTTTTAATGTTTCCCAGTCTAACCAGCATGAGATGGTATCTCAGTGTAGTTTTGATTTGCATTTCTCTAATGACCAGTGATGATGAGCAGTTTTTCATATGTTTGTTGGCCTCGTATATGTCTTCTTTTGAAAAGTGTCTGTTCATATCCTTCACCCACTTTTGAATGGGCTTGTTTTTTTCTTGTAAATCTGTTTTAGTTTTTGTAGATTCTGGATGTAAGTCCTTTTTCAGGTAAATTGCAAAAATTTTTTCCCATTCTGTTGGTTGCCAGTTCACTATAATGATTGTTTCTTTTGCTGTGCAGAAACTCTGGAGTTTCATACATCTTCTGATCTACATATTCAAGTGTTCTTTACTTTCCAACAATGTCTACTACATGTTAGAGTTTCATTTTACTCTTGAGTTCAGGTTTTCCAGAGTCTCCATTTTAATTATCCATATAAGTGGATAACTGGGGGGCTCCACTGTCTGATTTCCATATTATAATTCTTTTTTTTTTTTTTTTTTTTTTTTTTTATGAGACGGAGTTTCACTCTTGTTACCCAGGCTGGAGTGCAATGGCGCGATCTCGGCTCACCGCAACCTCCGCCTCCTGGGTTCAGGCAATTCTCCTGCCTCAGCCTCCTGAGTAGCTGGGATTACAGGCACGTGCCACCATGCCCAGCTGATTTTTTGTATTTTTAGTAGAGACGGGGTTTCACCATGTTGACCAGGATGGTCTCGATCTCTTGACCTCGTGATCCACCCGCCTCGGCCTCCCAAAGTGCTGGGATTACAGGCGTGAGCCACCGCGCCCGGCTGCCATATTATAATTCTTGCCTTTATTTCTCTGCCTTTCTACTTTGCATTCTGTATTATTTTCTCACACTGATTTTTCATTCAATTAACTGTTTTCAAAGGTTTCCCTTCTATTGTTACTGCTTCAAATTGGTATTTCATTTCTAAAGTAGCTTGTTTTTGTTTCCTCTTGGGCTTTGCTAGTTTTTTTTAAATCCCTTCTTATCATCTTGTCATATCATCTGTTTACTAAATTACGAATGTTGACTGAGGATCTACTGTGTGCCAAACACTGAGTAGGCACAGGGAGGTTATGGAGACCCAGATGGATGCAGTTCTGTTCCCATGAAGCTCACATTCTGTTGGCATTAAGGGAGACAGTCAAGAAACTGAAAATAAAGAGGCTTAAGATGCTGCCAAATATGAGAAGAAAGTAAAGCATGGATAAAAACCTGGTAATGGGATAGAGAATGCACGAAGTCAGGAAGCTTCCTAGATAGATTGCACTCTGACTTTGGAATAGTCTCAGAACATTTACATTTTAAAAATAGCCTCTTTACTCAAAATAGCCTCTTTACTTATACTAGGGGCATGTCTGACACATCAGGCTCAAGATTTTTCTATCATACCATTTTGCTTCTCTGTAAAGAAAATAAACTTTCACTTTCTACTAAATAAAGATTCAATTAAAAACGGAAGCCAAATCATACACATGTAATTTGCACGCGTTTCTTGAATGTATGTCACACTTCAACAAAAGTTTTTAAATAATGCAACAAAATGATACTGATTTTAGTGAGTTAGACAACAAGGGATCATAAAAACTCCGGAGGTTTGAGGAGCTGGTTCCTAGGGAGCCATTTCCTCCTTTATTCACAAGCAGCCTTCTCCAAATCTACTGTAAGAGTTCTAACTGTTTGGAAATCCTTTGGAGAATTTAAGGCCTTGACCAATATTTATCTACAAGACTGTGCTTGTAGCTGAGTTAATATGTAAATGTCAGTAGAGAAATAGGACACACTCTGTGCATCAAGATAAATTGGTGTACTGATGGAACACATGAGGAATGAGAAGAAAATACAATCCATAAGTTCATTTGGTAAAACTTGGGGAATCTACTGAGCTATTTGGGGGGTCTGGCTGAGCCAGGACTGAATGAGGACTGAGAACCCCAGCTACTTGTTGATGAAGAAGCCAAGAAGGGGAGAAAACTGGACAGTGTAAGCAGATTTCTAAAGGAATGGGTGAGAGAGAACTCAGCCAGGGGTGGGTGATTGGCAGGAACCCAGCACTTACCGGTGACAAAGAGGCTCACTGCCTCACTGCGCTGGGGACCAAAACCATTATCAGCTGTGCAGTAGTAGTTCCCTGAATGCCCTGCAGTCAGAGAGAAGCTGAAGGACACTCCTCCCACAGAGGGTGTTGAGCTGCTCCCTAGGGGCACATCCTCATGATAAAACTGGTATAGGATCCGGGGAGAACCTTTCTGAACTTCACAGTGAAGTGTCACAGTGGCTCCTTCAAAAGTCAGGGCCTCAGGAGAGCTGAGGGTGAGGACAGGACGAGACACAGGAACTGAGGAAGAGAAAAAATCAGCCAAGAGTTGCTTCTGCCTCTTACTGTAGATTTCAGTGCTTAGCCATGCAGATGCCCAGTCTCCAGTCCAAGGTCTCCAGTCTTTACCTGCTCTCAGGGCAGCCAAGCAACTTCCCAGGCTACTCTCACCAGCTCCCCTACCCCCATGCTGGTCTTTCCATGTCTGTTCATTTTCCACCAGACCTCTAGTCTCTTCTTTTCTCATGGCTCCCCTTGTGTGATCTGCCTTCCTTTTGCAGAGGAGATGATAATTTCAAGGAAGAAATTCCTTGTCTTGCCACCACCAGACTCACATGCACCAGCTCCTCACTCCTTCCTGCAACCATGCAGGGTGTCCTGCAACCATGGAAGAGCCATGCCTGGCCTGCCCAAAGGGGATTTTCCTGTGTCTTTTGACCTTGTACATACCTGCCTCTGACCTAGACATAGAGTCCTTGCCTCTATTGGCTTCTTCCAAATACCATTTTGATGTGTTTAACTATCTCCATATAAGAAAAACTATCAGACAATACAAATACAACCCTATTTGCATTTGAAGTTCCTCACAGTCTGTTTCTCTACTTTTCTGTGGTCATTCTTCTGGAAGAAGTGACCTACATTTATCATCTCTACTTCCTTATCTCATATCTCATGTGCATATTTTGTCCATTACAACTTGGTTTTTAGCCCTAATAATCTACTAAAGCTGATTTTTCTTGATTACAAATGTAGTTACAAGAATAATGCTGAAAATAAAATAGATGTTTGTTATAATGACACTATAGTGTCCGTAACTAAGTTCTGCTGTGTGTATATTTGTCACATATAATATGTAAACCTTTGTATGTATGCAGAGACTAATTTAATCATCACAACAATTCATTGAGGTAGGTGCTATCGTTGTCCTTGTTTCACAGATGAAGGTGCTGAGGTCCTAAGTGGTTGAGTCACACAGCTAGTAAGTGAAGAGGCAGCACCCAAACCGAGGTATTCTGGTCCTAGTCTGTGTATTTCTGCCAAAGAATACTTTGTGGCTAAATTGACTGGCTGTGATTCAGTTTTTATCTGTGATCATCTTGTAGCTTTGCCTTCTCCAAACCAGCTCACTCTCTCTTACTCAGACCACATTCTGGCCTTGGTGACAGTGGGACACACTCTCATAGTGTCTCTTTTCTCGGCCAGAGTCCTTCCTTCTCATATCCCATCTCCTCTACTGGGACTGGCCTAGGGGTTCTGTCCAACTGGACACTCTCTTGTTGGACCATCTCCTTTACTCCTGGCTGCTTCCCAAACTGGCTGCTCTATGACCCGTTTCTCACTGTGCTGCTGGAGTGGTTTTCCCCAACAATGAAACCATTCATGGAGCCCAGATTCCCCTGCAGATATGGCCCCAGCCCTTACTCTGCTTCTAAGTATGTTCTAACCATGTCTTCTTGCCCAACCTCATCCTGCATTTCTCCACTGTTCAGTCTATGCTGCAGTCATCAAGAACTGACCCCTACTCCAGTTCCTGGCTTGTGTCCTCCCTCCGTCACCACAATCCTCTTCTCCTGCAGGTCTCAATTCACATATGAGCTCTTCCAAAAATTTTTTTCTCACTTCCGAACTCAGGCTGGTGTGCCCCTCCATCTGTTCCTGCAGCCACCAGGGACTTCTATCCTAATGTTGATGTTTTCTCTATTGTCTGCATTTGCTATTAGCCCCGAAGAACCATGTGGGCCGGGGTGGGTTGGTCTAGTCTTAGATGCATTCTTAGATGTCAGTATAGTCTGGTCCATTGAATATATGCAATCAGTATTTATTAGGTAAAGAAATGAGCCATTGAATAGGACTTTGTACATCTCTGAGTGTGTTTGATCATGATGTCACTGTCTCCACTTAGGCCTCTGAATGTTAGGGGCACTGTTTTCTTTCTATGTTATTGGATGCCTCCCCCCAGCCTCCCAAGTCCTCTCTTTTATAATCTCACACATCCATGTTGGGGGGGTGGAGAGGGGCAACTAGATTCTTGTTTGTCTTCCAATCTGGTATTATTGTTTTATCAGAGAGAAAACTGAGGCTGCTTCTTTGTCCAGCTAAGACTGGACACTCTGTCACCAGCATAGGCCCAAATGACACTGTCTCCTTAAAACTTTGACCTGGCATTTAGCCATATATGGATGGTCCAAAACAGATCCAAGCTCAACAGAAACCTTTTTGACGTCCTATTTGACAGCTACCTGAATAGTCATGAGAGCATTAAGCCAAGCAAGCAGACGTAAAGCTGTCTCCTGGCCTGCCCCCAGCTCACCGCTGTCTGTGCCTTTCTTAATACTTCCCAATCAACCCTAAGGAAAAGCTTGAGCAAGAGGGATATGCTGGAGTTACTGTGATCCAGCTAGTTGTTATTGTATCTTACATGACTTTGCAGATGGTTATTCATTAATGTCTGATATTAACTGGACAGGGGACATTTCTGTGCTCCTGGGAACTGAAGCTGAGTCTATATCTACTAAGAACAATTTAGTGAATGAAAATCAGGCATCTAGTGGATGTACAGGACAAGTGGAGAGCACAAGAAAAGTACTTGGCCGCTCTGAATTTGATGAGCAGGGAAGAGAAAGCTGCTGCATCAATAGGAAGGGATGGGAAGGCATCCAGACTACAATGGGACAAGGCTCAAAGGGGCAGACAGCTGGTTCAGTGAGCCAGAGGGTGAAGGAGGACATTAGGTTGTCCCAAGGAAGAAACCCAGGAAACTGGAAGGTACGTGCAGAATTCTGAACGGCTGGGTGAGAGAGGACTCTTGGCCAGGGGTGTATGATTGGCAGGAACCCAGGGCTTACCAGTGATGAAGAGTTTCACAGCCTTACTGCGCTGGGGGCCACGGCCATTGTCAGCTGTGCAGTAGTAATTCCCTGAATGCTTTGCAGTCACAGAGAAGTTGATGACCACTCCTCCTGCAGAGTGGGCCGACCTACTCCCCAGGACGACATCCTCATGATAAAACTGGTACAGGATGGGGAGTGAACCTCTCTGGGCTTCACAATGAAGTGTCGCCTTGGCTCCCTCAAAATTCAGGTCCTCAACAGAGCCGAAGGTAAGGACAGGACGAGATACGGGGACTGCAAGAGAGAAAAAATTAGTCAAGATTTGATTCTGCCTCTTGCTATAGATCTGGTAAAAAGGTAAATAAATCTTGGGAGTCCCAAATCACTAAGCCAGAGAGAAAAGTCAAGCTGGGAACTGTGTCAGGCAAATCTGCCTTTCATTTTATTCCTTAATAGGATTGCCACAAAGACTTTTTAAAAAGCTACATACCTCCCTCACAATTTGTCCACTAAAAAATTTCTTTGTGGACCCCAAGATCTTTACTGTAAATGGTTCTGTCTTAACTGGTCCTGTTTTACCCTAACAATGTAAATTGAGAGCTGATTTTCACAGGTACAGGACAAAAGACAGAACTCTAAGTCACCCCTGCTGACAGGAGACAAATACATGCTGGTTGTTTCTTTGATTTTAAAATGCAGACTCACTGGGCTAGAGGAAGACAGAAGTGACTATTCCTCTACCCTCTTGTTAAATATAAATTGTGTATTCTGCTAAAGGCTTATCAAAGACTCAAAAGAATGAACACTTTGTCTCCTATTTACTCATACCTTTAAAAATTTCTCCAATGTCTGTCATTTCTCCTTTAAATATTAAAGCCCTCAGAATCATCTTTGGAGAAGGCAGGGGGCTGAATCTGCGGCACATGTCCTTAACCATGGCAAAATATACTTGACAAGTTGACTGAGACCTGTCTCAGATAGTTTTTAGTTCACACATTCAATATTTAGCCAGTGCAGATGATCAGTCTCCAGGCCACAGTCTCCAGGCTCCACCCACCCACAGGGTGACCGAACCACTTCCCAGGCTTCTCTCACCAGCTCTCCTGTCCTCCATGCTGCTCTTTCCCTGTCTGTTCCTTTTCCCTCAGACTTCTGTCTTTTCTCCTCTTCCAGCTCCCCTTGTTGTATGACCTGCCTCTCTTCTGCAGAGGAGATGTTGCTTTCAAGGAAGAATCCCCTTGTCTGGCCACCAGCCGACCCACACACCCTTACCTGCACCAGCTCCTCACTCCTTCCTGTGTCCTGAGACCACGGAACAACCCTCCTTGGCCTGCCCAGGGGCGGGGATCTTCTGTCTCTTGACCCTGTGCACACCTGCCTCTGTCCTAGATATAACATTCTTACCTCTACTGGCTTCTTGCAAACTCCATTTGCATGTGCTTAACCCTCTCCATGATAGAAAATAAGCAGACGATAGAAAAACAACCCTATTTGCATTTGAAGTTCCTCAGTCTGTTTCTCCACTTTTCTGTGGTCATTCTTCTGGAAGAAGTGAGCTGCATTTATCATCTCTACTTCCTTATCTCATATCTCATGTGCATAGTTTGTCCATTACAACTTGATCTGTATCCCCAACAATGTGCTATAGCTGATTTTCATGTTTCTGAATTTAATTATGATAATGATAAAAATAATAAAATAGACATCTGTTATAATGACACTATAGTGTCTGTAGCTAAGTTCTGGTGTGTGTGTATTTGTTGGATGTAGTTCATAAATATTTATGCGTATAGAGACACTAGTGTAATAATCACAACAATTCATTGATGTAGGTGCTATTGTTGTCCCTGTTTCACAGATGAAGGTGCTGAGGTCCTAAGTGGTTGAGTCACACAGCTAGTAAGTGAAGAGGCAGCACTCAAACCCAGGTATTCTGGTCCTAGTCTGTGTATTTCTGCCAAAGAATGTGGCTAAATTCACTGGCTGTGTCTCAGTTTTTATCTGTCATCATCTCTTAGCTTTGCCTTATCCAAACCAGCTCACTCTCTTCCGCTTAGAACACATTCTGGCCTTGGTGACAGTGGGACACACTCTCATAGTGCTTTTTTTCCTGACCAGAGTCCTTCCTTCTCATATCCCATCTCCTCTACTGGGACTGGCCTAGGGGTTCTGTCCAACTGGACACTCTCTTTTTGGACCCTCTCCTTTACTCCTGGCTGCTTCCCAAACTGGCTGCTCTATGACCCGTTTCTCACTGTGCTGCTGGAGTGGTTTTCCCCAACATTGAAACCATTCATGGAGCCCAGATTCCCCTGCAGATATGGCCCCAGCCCTTACTCTGCTTCTAAGTATGTTCTAACCATGTCTTCTTGCCCAACCTCATCCTGCATTTCTCCACTGTTCAGTCTATGCTGCAGTCATCAAGAACTGACCCCCACTCCAGTTCCTGGCTCGTGTTCTCCCTCCCTCACCACAGTCCTCTTCTCTTGCAGGTCTCAATTCACATATGAGCTCCTCTAAGAAATTGTTTCTCACTTTCCAGTTCAGATTTGCGTGCCTTTTTATCTGTTCCTGTAGCCACCAGGTATTTTTATCCTCAGATTGATGTTTTCCCTATTTCTTGTCTGCATTTGCTTTTAGCCTCTGAGAATCATGTGGGCAGGGCCAGCTTTGTCTAGCCTTAGATGCATCCTTGGCTGTCAGTACAGTCTGGTCCATGGAATATAAGTATCAGTATATATTAGGTGAAGAAAAAAAATGAGCCATTTAATAGGACTTTGTACATCTCTGAGTGTGTTTTGATCATGATGTCACTGTCTCCACTTAGGCCTCTGAATATTAGGGGCACTGTTCTTTTTCTGTGTTATTTGATGCCTCCCCCGGCTTCCCTGGTCCTCTCCTTAATCTCACACATTCATAGTGGGGATTGGATTCTTACTTGTCTTCCAAGTTTGTGTTAATGTTTTACAGGCGAGGAAACTGAGGGTGCTTCCAGGCCCAGCTGAGACTGGACTCTCTGTCTCCAGCATAGGCCCAAATCATGCTGTCTCCTTAAACATTGGACCTGACATTTAGCCACCCATGGATGATTCAAAACTTTGATCCAAAGCTCAGTGGAAATCTTTTTGATGTCATAACTATTTGACAGCCACATGAATAGCTGTGAGGGCATTACGCCAAGCAAGCAGAGGTGAAGCTGTCTCCTGGCCTGCCCCCAGCCCACTGCTGCCTGTGCTATTCTTGCCTACTCCCAAATCAACTCTAAAAAAGGCTTGAGCAAGAGGGACATGCTGGGGTAACTGTGATCCAGCTACTTGTCTTTGTGTCTTACATGTTTTTGCCCCTGGTTTATTGATTAATGTCTGATATTAACAGAACAGGAGATACTTCTGTGCTCCTGGAAATTGAGTCTGTATCTATTGAGAATAATGTAATGAGTGAAAATCAGGCATCTGGGGAACCACAAGACAAGTAGAGAACAAGAGAAAAGGACTTGTCTTCTCAGAAATTGGGGACCAGGGAAGAGAAAGCCACCGCACCATCAGATAGGGGTGTGAAGGCACCCAGACTGCAGTGTAACAAGGCTCAAGAGGCAGACAGCTAGTTCAGTGAGCCAGAGAGTGGAGGTGGACATTAGGTTGTCCCAAGGAAGAAGCAGAGGGAACTGGAAGGTGCATGCCGTTTTCTGAAGGGCTTAGTAAGAGAGGACTCTTGGCCAGGGGTGGATGATTGGCAGGAACCCAGGGCTTACCAGTGACAGAGAGTCTCACAGCCTTACTGCCCTGGGGGCCACGGCCACTGTTAGCTGTGCAGTAGTAGTTCCCTGAATGCTCTTCAGTCAGTAAGAAGCTGATAGATTCTCCGTTTGCAGAGCGGGCTGACTTGTGCTTCAGTAGGACATGCTCATGATAAAACTGGTACGAAGTGCCCTGAGAATATCCCTGGGTTTCACAGTGAAGTGTCACGTTGGTTCCCTCAAAATTCAGGGCGTCTTTAGGGCTGAGAGTGAGGACAGGAAGAGACATGGAGACTGAGGAAGAGAAAAAATTAGTCAAGAATTGCTTTTGCCTCTTACTGTAGATTTCAGGGCATGGTCAATGCAAATGCCCAGTCTCCAGTCTCCACCCTTACCTCACCATCATCAGAATCACACACCCTTACCTGTACCTACATCTGCTCCTTGCTCCTTCCCTCTGCCCTATGACTGTGGAAGGTTGTCCCTGGAGTGCCCGATTATTCCGAGTCCTCTTTCCCATTCCTGTTCATTTCTCCCTTGACTTGTGTTGGCCTCAGAGATTGATTTGCCATTGACAGTTTTTCCTTAAAGATTAGCATAGTCCTCTAGAGCTTTTTCCTCAGCTCCTACTCTCTCTCTTGGCCCAGACTGACTTTCTTTATTACAGGTGAGAAAACTGAGTCAGACAGAGACTAGGAGAACTGCCTGTGTAGGTTTTCAGGGCCAGCCAGGACCAGAGTTAGTGTTCTGACTCCTGGTCCGGTGATGATCACATTGTCTCCTTAGAAGTGGGCTTGGAGTTTGCCATGAGTGGAGGGGTGACACAGGGCTCCACATAAACTGTTTTGCCCTCATCACCATAATTACTACAGTAGCTTTGAGGTAAGGATGGTGCTGTATACTAGTAAGGGAGGTGATGTAATCTGGGATGCATATTTATAACCCGTAACTAGGGAATGGTAAGCCTCCAGAGTTACATATTTGGAGTAACTGTGATGTTGCTATCTGTTTTTGTATCCTACAGAAATTTTCACATTGGTTCTTGCCAGTAAGTAATGTTAATTGGGACAACAGATACCTCTGTACCCCAGAGTCAGAGAGCTCTGCCACAGCCCACAGCTTATCCCTGTGGGCCTAGAAGAAAAAAAAAAATGATGTCAGAGAAGAGAGCCCTGTGAGAGAAAAGAAAGAGTAGTATTCAATGGCATTGAAAGAAATAACATAGACCTTTCTTTCCTTGGATTTTCCTGGGTCTAAGCTCTTCTAAGATGTCCATAAGAGTAGGGGTCTCTTTGCTTGCACAACTCCCATTATTGCAGGTAAGGGTTCTTTCTACAGAGGCTGCTGACCCAAGCTGATGTACAGCTCTGTCCCACTTTTCCAGCCCTATCCTCAGCAAGCCTCAGGTCCCACCAATACTTACTCTGCACCTGTATCCAGGATCCTAGGCTGTCAGATATGATGCTGTGATTCACTGTTGCTGCCTTACACCGGTAGAACCCTGAATCTTCACTCCACATGGTAGCAATCTCCAAGTTTGGGGATCTGCTCCAGCCTGATCCCAGGGTCTGGCCATATCTGAAGAAGCGGAACTGGAGCTGGGCGTCTGACCTCTCTAGAGAGAGCTGGGTCTCACAGGTCAGGGTCACTGGGCTCCCACTGATGGGCTGGGAGGAGCTTGCTCTCAACACTGGGCGTGAAAACAGCTCTAGAGAGGAGAATCACAATAGTCCCAGAGCAATGAGGTTGGAATAGCTTTGGAGAGAAACACATTTCAAGCAGCAGCACATCCAGAAGTAGGGAAAGACAAGGATGCTATCAATCCCTAGCTTCTTTTTGCCCAAAGCACTGCTGTACTTCCTCTGGTCCTTGCAGGAATGTGCCCTGTGGCGCATCCTTTTCCTCCTCTTCTACCTCTATGAACCCAGGGAGTCTCCTTTTGACCAACTCACTTCACAAAATAATGAAGGCTTTACCTTGGACTTGGATTTCGACTCTGTTGGAAGAAACAGAGCAACACCCTCTCTTATGTCCAGTACAGCGATATTCACCATTATCCTTGAGACTTGCACGAGGAATATGGACATCAGAGCTTTTCTTAAGAAATGCTAGGACATTATCATCCTTGTAAATAGTATTCGGTGTTACTTCTTCCTTTGCCCGGCACCTCAGAACCACATAGTCTCCTTCAAACACAGAAAACGGAGCTTGCAGGATCAGCGAAGCTATGGGAAACACAACCGCAGTTACTTGGTTCATCTCATTGTTTCCCTTTTTATTGTTTTTCCAAGTAGATTTTATTTTAAAAGATGGGTTGGGAAAAAGAATTCTTAAAGTAATTATCATTTCATTTTTTTTTTCTGATTTAAAAATGAATGCATACACATTGAGAAAAGTTGAAAAGCAGAAATGTAAGTAAAATCACCTACCACCTCACCACCTGTATTTTGGCACATGTTTTTCCAGTTTTCTCTTCCACTTTCAAGTATTGAGAGTCCCTGTGTATTTTTTTTTATGAAATAAAAATTGTACTTGTAGATTTGATGACTTTCCTTTCACTTACTATGCTATGAACACTTTCCTACGTCATTAGTATCGTTACTGAACCTGATTTTTAATGTTCACAGTTTTTCTTCACTGGCGGTAACATAATTTTTTTAAATGAGTATTCTTTTTTTTTTTTAAACCAATTTAGGGTCTGCCGTTTTCAGGGATGTATGTCTATGATCGTTTCAGTAGGCAAATTTTTGAGAGGGTATGTTAAGTCAAAGAGCTTAAGCATTTTATTTATTCCTTGCTAGTACACTGCTTCTACTATGTTCAAGGATGCTATGACTTCAGTTTCAAAACAGGTGGCTTTAGGGCAAAAGAGTAAATGTCTCTTACTTCATCTTTCTTTCTCTGTATAGTTATCTGCCTGTGCATTATCTACCCATAAGAGTGAACAACCCTTCTGCCACATATTATTCCAAGGAAATAATATGACTTAAAACTATACATAGAGGCCGGGTACAGTGGCTCATACTTTTAATTCCAGCAGTTTAAGAGACCCAGGAGAGCAGGTAGCTTGAGCCCAGGGGTTCAGATTAGCCTAGGCAACATGGGGTAACCCCGTCTCTACTAGAAACACAAAAATTAGCCAGGCATTATGGTGGGCTCCTGTAGTCACACCTACTAGGGAGACTGAGGTGGGAGAATCACTTGAACCAGGGAGACGGAGGTTGCAGTGAGCCAAGATAGTGACACTGCACTCCTGCCTGGGCGACAGAGCGAGACTCCATCTCAAAAAACAAAACAAAAAAACTATACATAGATTCAGGAACCATTCAAATGAATTACTCCTCAGACTTTCTGTTACCTGAGAAGCTTGTAAAAAATACAAATTGCTGGGCCCCACTCCTATAGATTTTGATTCAATAAACATAGGGTAGGCCCTGAGTATCTGTATGATTAAAAAGCTGCCCAAATCAATCTTTAAGAACCACAGGTTTAGAGACATTAATCCACTCAAGTAAAAATTTTCTTCATTTTAATGTTTAAAGTTAAGCAGCTAATCCCATTCCCTGTCTGGTTGTATTCCAAGTTTTTTACTCTCTCCCTGTCTTACCAGAGTGTGAAATAAAATTGTCCACTCACGAAGGGTCTGAAGTCATAACAGCTAGAGAGAAATATGGGCTGAATTGATTTCTCAAGTCGGTGCGTCTTTCACGCTCTCTCACCTGAAGAGAAGACCAAGTGCACAGGGCTACTGAGCGAGGAGCCCTGGGCCTGGCATCTGTAATCTCCAGATTCTCGAACCTTGAGGGTATTTGCTAGAGTTTCTCTTGTTATTTCTTTCCCAAGGTACCATTTTGTTTTCTGTTGTGAGTAGAAGGGAAATCCCTTGCAAGTCAGAGTCACTGTCTCTCCTTCGAAGACTGTGGTCCATGGAGGCTGGAGGGAAATAATGGACTTGTGTGTCCTTGCTGAGGAGGAAAGAGAAAAGGAGTCTAAGGTGGAGGCGCCCGAAGGCCCAGCCTCAGGGCCTCCCGCTGCATAGCCTGGCCCTCACCTCACCTAAGGGAGAAATTGCCCAGGGGATGACAATGAGCAAAATGATTTCAGGAAGGTGACACCAGCTGGATTCACCATCAAACGTCACAGTTAAGTAGCCTTACATGGAAGGGGGTCCCAGAGAAAACCACCACTGCACTGCCATTTCATCATCTTCATACACTCACAAGAACCTCCAAAGGTGATGTTAAAATTACAATTTTGTACTTTCCCTAAAAGAATAAATCATATTATCTTAAGATTTGTCACTGAAAAAACCTTGGCAGCTCAACTTACTTAACATCTTCGTTTTGTAGATGATGATTCAAATGCCCAGAAAAATCCCATCATAGCTAATTGTGGCAGAGCAAGGAAGGGACAAGTCACTCACTGGCATCCAGAGGTGAGCAGGACAAGGTTACAGCTTTGGCACTGATTTGGACAAGGAGAGGGATTGTAGAGGGTTCTTGCTCTTCATAGGTTCTCAGTTATTCACTCTGAGCCAAAGGAATGGCAGGAAGAGCCAGAACTAATTAAATGTGGGATGCCAATGACTTGTCTTCTCCCCTATCTCCCCTTTCTGTGCCTTTCTTTTTTTTCAAGGACCCAATTGTTGGATTTTCTGTTCCCCACACATTTCCTGGAGGATTTTACTCCAAAGCTATAGAGAATGCAGCATTCCTGCTGACATCAGCACAGTGGGATGTTTTCAGAGGGATTTTTCTGGCTTGCTGATTGGAGAGGATCCTATCTTGAGTCCAGCATAATTGCCATGGAGTTGAAGATGTCCTTCCTGGCTAAGTGGAGTCTGTTGGCAATAACAGTAAATGCAGAGCCTAGCAAAGGCCAGGAGCTGCTTGTGCATTCACCACTTCACCCAGGAAGGGTCAGAGAGTGACCAGGCACTATCCTAGCCCTTGAGCAATGCCAAAAAACCAGGCATCACTTTGAAATCCCTGCTGACCTCAGCAAGAAAACAGGAGATATTAGAGAACTCAGGCAACCGTCACAGATGTTTTCTGTTCACTAGGAAGAGATACTCTTATCCAGAGACACTGAAGTGCTAAAGACAGAACTCACCAAGCTGTCTGCTGACAGGAGCTGCAAAAAAACAAGAGCCAGAGATGAGCGCAGAGCCAAGATTCTTTTGCTTTAAGATGATTCTCTTTTTTCCCCATGCATATATTACTTCTCCCATTAAAAATGCATTTTTAAAAAATCCAATAATTTTTCATCAAATGTTTATATATAAATACTAAGGTATGGTGCTTGGACCTTTAAAATAAACTTTAAAAATGGTATCTGCTGTTGAGAAGTTGGCTGGTGGAAAAATAGAAACACGATGTAAAGTAATATAATTATATCACAGGGTGTAAGTGCAATAACAGAAATACACAGGGGTATCTTGAGGGCATAAGGGCCACGTAGTCTAGTGTGTAGGATATATGTGTGTGTGTGTGTGTGTGTGTGTGTGTATAGAGTGTATGTTTGTTTGTATGTGTGTTGAAGAGGGCGGATGGATCTTGGAAGGTATCTGAAGGAGATGATACTTCAGAAAACTGGGAGTGAGAACATAAGAGTCTGCAGGTGGATGTTAGCTTTTGTGTGTGGTGAGAGGTGATGGGAAGGGCAATCAAGGCAGAAAGGGCACAGAGGTGGAGAAATGACATTGGTCCTCAGGAGTTGGGAGTGTTGGGGAAAATAAGATCAGAGAGACATACAGAGCCCCAGTAAATGGCTCTAATTTTATTTTAAAAGCCATAAGATGTCATGGAAAGGTTTCAAGGAGGAGATTGACAGGGTTAGAAGTTGAACTTTGATGGAACACTCTGTCACAGGACAGACTTCAGTGGGATACAATAACAAGGAGGGAGATTGATTAGAAGGCAGGGCAAGGAAATGGTCATGCATTACTTTGAGAGGCCCAGGTGAACAGATCACTTGAGCCCAGGAGTTCAAGATTAGCCTGGGGAACATGAGGTAACCCCATCTCTACTAAAAATACAAAAATGGCCACGCATTATGGCAGGCTCCTGTAGTCCCACCTATTAGGGAGACTAATAACAGAGTCCAAACTATACTCTCTTCATGAAATCATTGACTCCAAAGGCTTGTTATCCTGCCTACATTTTTTTTTTTTTTGAGACGAAGTCTCACTCTGTCACCCAGGCTGGAGTGCAGTAGCATGATCTTGGCTCACTGCAACCTCCGCTTCCCAGGTTTAGGCAATTCTCCTGCCTCAGCCTCCTGAGTAGCTGGGATTACAGGTGTGTGCCACCACTCTTAGCTAAGTTTTGTATTTTTATTAGAGACAGGGTTTCACCATGTTGGTCAGGCTGGTCTTGAACTCCTGGCCTCGTGATCCACCCGCTTCAGTCTCCCAAAGTGCTGGGATTACAGGCGTGAGCCACCGCACTCGGCCAATGCCTAATTTTTAAACAATCAACTGAGGCTTAGGTCGTTTAGACCTGATGCTCTGACCAAGAGATGGTAATGTTTAATTTTTTTCAGAGTATTTATCCAAAATGTTCTTCATTATCTGTTTATTTTCCCATCTCTAGAATGCAAGCTCACCATGTTGGTCAGGTTGGTCTTGAACTCCTGACCTCATGATCCACCCGCCTCAGCCTCCCAAAGTGCTGGGATTACAGGCGTGAGCCACCGCACCTGGCCCATGCCTAATCTTTAAACAATCAACTGAGGCTTAGGTCGTTTAGACCTGATGCTCTGACCAAGAGATGGTAATGTTTAATTTTTTTTCAGAGTATTTATCCAAAATGATCTTCATTATCTGTTTATTTTCCCATCTCTAGAATGCAAGCTCTATGAGACCTAGAGCTTTTCTTGTGTTCACCATATGTCCTCTAGGACCTGTAACAGTGCCTGCTATAGAAAAGATATTCCTTTAATATTCCCTAAATATATTTTTGTTGTATAATGAATTAATTAAAGAACTAGGTTAGTAATACAGAGATAGAAGGATGGAGATTTGAGAGCTGGATAATGAAGAGAGAGAGGACAGAAAACTGGCAGGTTTATAAATTGAGTAGATATTCTGCATAAGATTCACGTTTGATTTATTTATTCAGAGATTTTTGGAATGCCAGTCATACTCCAGGGCAAGGCAATAGAAATCCAGCAGTGAGTGAGAGACACATCATCCCTGTCCACATGAGACTGTTGGAGGCTTATCCAAACTTAAGTGTTTTACCGAGAACAAATTACTCACCATTCACCTGAATATTTTGATTTCCTTAGTCTTTGTATGGTTTTAAATGAAGCTACTATTTTTGTGAGTGCTGTCTATATGGTATGCATTTACATAGGTTATTTTATATAACCTTGTCAATAACCCTATGAGGTAAGCACTAGGATTAACCCCATTTTACAGGCCAGGAATCTGGTAGCTAGCAGGTGGCAGATTGAAGTTTTGAACCTGGATCCTGTTTGACCCCAGAGCCCATGTTATAAACTCTGCCCTCTCATTGAAAGGACCTGGCTAATGCTCACATTATGTGGGTGCCACACTGAGATGTGTTCCTACCTCAGGAATTATAGTCTATGCACTTTACAACTTTGGGGTCCTCTTTTCTTGTATCATGCCCACTCCATTTCTACTCCTCTAGCTCCTAACTCACCTCTAAGTTTCATGAAGTCTTTACTAGCTATTTTGCTTATAGTTTATTGTCTGCCTACAGCATTCATTGGTAACTTGTCCTGAACAATTATTTAACTGGGATCTTGTTGCATAGCTGTTTGAAAACACACTGGCCTTGTTGGGAGCCCTTCTATGTCATGACCTTCCTGAGCATAGACATGGTGCCTCCTATGGACTCTTACTGTTTAGCACCTGGTACAATACTGCGCATAGCTATTACTAAACATATTTGCTGAAAAAATATACATACTTAATTCTAATATTTAAACTTTCGTAAAAACCAACCAGTTGGCACCTATGAATTGATAGAGACTTATTCATACCCACAGGCACAAAGAGAAAGTCATATGCTTTAGATTTGTCCTTGCTTTGCCCACCTACCCCTCTCCAACCTCCCCCACTCCGTTTCTTAATCAGCCAGTCGCTGCAGTGGTTTGCGATTGTGTCCAAAAGAAACAGGTGTCTTTCCTGTTAGAAACCTTGCCCTCTCATGCTCAGGGCCAGGATCTGGCCTTGTCATACAAGAAGTAAATCCATCTCCTCTGCGGAGAGGAGAGTAGGCTCTTCCATAAATGAGACAATATGAAAAAACAAACATGAAACATTTTCCAGCCTTTATGAAGTACTTTTTGAAGAAAAAAAATTAATGAAATTTTAAGTGTCATGGTTACTATGGTTTCCTCTGCTGTAAGATTGAAGGTTTCTTCCAACTGTGACCATTTTCTTCACCCTCAATAGAAAGCCCTGAGCTACAGAGTAAAATTCAAAAATCTAGTCTCTTCCTGTAGGAAAGATTCTATCAGCAGGGGTTGAGCCCCAAGAAAGAACCAGACCTGCGGTGGAGAGAAGCTGTCTCAACCCCACTCAGGGCCCATGTTGAGCCCGTTTACTCACCCAGGAGCAGTAATGTCACCCCCAGCAGCATGAAGACCTGGACCACCAAAGGCTGAGACCAAAAGAGAAGTTTCATCAGGAATAACCGGTTTGGACTTGATCTTACAGTCAGGACACGGCACACCAGCTCCAGGGAGCATATCTGAGAAGCTACACTTTCAAAAAGAGCAGAATGCATTAGTGAATTAGAAAAAAGGAAGTGGAAGTACTCATATTCAATTACGAATCAAAGTTTCCTGCCCGATGATCAAAGAAGGAAAAAAGAAGTTAAGGTTTTAAAAAATCACATACCCTTGACCCCACATTTCTGCTAGTGGGAAATTACCCTGAAGGAAGCATCTGAAGAGAGTTCTCTAAGAACTTTTATTATAGCGTTCATTATTGCCCAAACACTGGGCACAAAGCTTAAAAACCATGCTACGGGAACTGTTTAAGAATATTCTGATTCATCTGTGCAATGACAAGCAATCATTAAAAAATAAGGTAAATCAGGATATACTAAGAAGGCAAGACCACCCTGTTTGATGTGAAGAGGAAAAAAGTGATATATAGATTGGTTTTGTAGTATTATCCCATTGGGTAGATATAAAAAATAGGATACATGTATATATCAACTCTTTTAAGTATACTTTCTTCTTTTCCTGGAAAGTACACCCAAAAATATTGATTATGCTTGAAGAGCAATAGGTGGGAAAAATACATCTAATTTTATATATTTCTGTACTGTCTGATTTTTTTTAAAAAAATTACCATGTGAATGTATAGCTTTTATAATTTTCTTAAAGTCAAGTTTCCATCCTGGTATACTGGTCAACAGAGGTTCCTAAGACATTAGCTGCCATGAGGAGTGCCAGTTTCTTTCTTTCAAAAATTTTCCCCACCCTTTCTCTCTGGGCCCATACGTTGGTCTTCCTAAGGAGGCATTTAATTTTATATCTACAAATTTTACATCACCTTAAGTGTGTTATGTCACATCTAATCCACTGCATCCTGAGGCAAGAAAACCATACAGGGGTTACAGGGGTGAATAGAGTTGAATCCATCTAAGTCCAGGAGGAGAACTTCAAAGGGAACACAGAGTCTTTACCTATTTCTGGTGCTAAAATAAATAGTGCTGCTATGAACATTCTTGTATACATTTCTTGGGGCACGTGCACATACAATTCTATTGGGTATCTACCTGGGAGTGGAATTCCTGGCTCATAAAGAATGGATATTTTCAGTTTAGCAAGTACAACCAAATTATTTTCCAAAGTGGTTGTGTCAATTTACACCACACCCGCCAACCAATGTATGAGAGTTATCATTGTTCTAAAATTCTTGCTGACACTGATATTATCATCTAGTAAAATCCGGCCATTCTGCTAGAATTATCTCAATGTGGTTTTAATTTTTATGTCTGGTGAATTTGAGACTGAGCATTTTTTCATAGTCCAATTAGTGATGTAGATATCCTTTTTATGTGCAATCTCTGTTCAAATCTTTCCTCATTTTTCTCTTAACTTTACTCTTTCTTTTCCTGTTTTGTAGGTATTTTAAACTGTGAATATAAACCCTTCGTTGGATATATGTATTGTAGATGTCTTCCCTCAATCTGTAACTTGCTTCCTTGCTCATCGATAGTGCCTTCTGATGAACAACTGTTCTAATTTTGACATAGTTCAGTTTATCAATCTTTTCCTTCATGGTTAGAAATTTTTGCATCCCTTTTAAGAAATTTTGTCCACTCCAAGGTCATAAAGATGTTCTCTCAGGTTATCTTCTAGAAACTTTATTATTATTATTATTTTTACCATTGAGTTTATATTTATAATAGCATTGCAATTGATTTTTGTGTATAGTATGAATATTTCTATTCACTTTTAATGTAAATATAGGTAATTTCCCCAGCCCTATTGATTGAAAGTTGATTTTTTTCCCACAGTACAGTGCCATTTCACCTTTGTCTATAAAACAAAAAGCCATGCAAGTCTATTCTTGGAAACTCCTTTCTTGCTCATTATTCTGTCTATCCTCATGCCGATATGACACTGTTCTGATTATTGTTGTTTTATAATAACTCTTATTAACTGGTAGTTAAAGTCATAACTTTTATTAACTGGTAGTTTAAGTCATAAAATGCTGTTCTTCAAAATTGTTATGGCTATTTTTGGCTCTTCGAATTTTTCTATGCATTTGAAAATCACCTTGTAAATTCCTGCCCCCTCTCTCCCAAAAGCCTAGTAGACTTTTAATAACTGGGATTGCACTGGATTTATAAATTAATTTGCATAAATTAGAAAAGATTGAGTCTCCCAGTCCATAAACATAAAATATACCCTCATTTATTTAGGTCAACTTGACATTCTTTCAGTAATTTTCTGGAGTTTTGTCTGTAGAAAGTACATTTTTTGTTAGGTTTATCCTTAGGTTATTGATATGTTTTTGATGAGATTGTAAGTGACATTATCAGATTTTTTTCTAATGTATATTGGTATGTAGAAATACAGTAGTTTTTTGTTTTATTGACCTTCATTTTTATTTTTTTGAGATGAAGTTTCCCTCTTGTCCCCCAGGCTGGAGTGCAGTGGCACGATCTTGGCTCACTGCAACCTCTACTTCCCAGTTCAAGCAATTCTTCTGCCACAGCCTCCAGAGTAGCTGGGATTACAGGCATCTGCCACCACGCCCAGCTAATTTTTGTATATTTAGTAGAGATAGGGTTTCACCATGTTGGCCAGGCTGGTCTTGAACTCCTGACCTCAAGTGATCTGCTCACCTTGGCCTCCCAAAGTGCTAGGATTACAGGTGTGAGCCACCATGCCTGGCCTTGCTGACCTTTTAATATCTACTATAATTGCTGAATTTATTTATTGATTCTAATAGTTTAGGTTCTTTTAGATTTCATGCATACACAATCATATCATGATAGTTGTATTCATTATTTTTAAAACTTAAATGTCCTTTTCCCTCACTTATTGTACTGACTAGGCACTCAAACATGATACTAAAGAGAAGTGGTAATATCAGGCATCCTGTTGTAGTCTCACAGAAAAAGCTCTTTATATTTCAATATTAAATATGGTATTTTTGTAAGTTTTTTAGGTAAATACTGTTTATCAGGTTAAATACCTTTCCTTATATTTCTAATTTGCTAAGATTTTTTCATTTTTTAAAAAATAATGGATGCTATTTCAGTAACTATCTTTATTGCCTCTATTAATATGATCATATGATCATTTACTTTTATTGTCAATGTGGTAAATTACATTGATGATTACAAATATAAAATCAACTGTGCATTACAACTTGGCCATGATGTGTTACCTTTTTTATATATTCTTGAATTTGACTTACACATTTGCTGTGATTTTTAGCATTTGTGTTCATGAGATAGATGGACCAATTTATTTTCTTGATGAATTTTAGTAACAAAATTATATTGGTGTCATAAGCAAGCTCCTCTTTTTCTATTCTTGTGATGTTTGTTTAAGATTGATGTTATTTCTTCCTTAAATGTTTGGAAGATTTTACTGGTAAAGATACTTAAGCTTGAAATTTTCTCTTGGGAGGGGCAAATTATAGATTTGATTTTTAAAACTGATATGAGATTATTCAGATACTTTATTTCTTCTTGTGCCAGCTTTGATATGTTGTGTATTTTTAAAATTTGTTTATCAGTATTTCCAAGTCTATTGACACAACATTATTTTACAAGGTTCTCATTTATTTTTAATATCTTTGAGATCCATAGTAATGATTTTTATTTTTTCACTCATAATATTAATAACTGTTTTCTCTTTATCATTCTGTTTTTTTAATTATTCATCAGTCTCTAGAGGGAATCATCAATTGAATAACGTTTTCAAAGAAACTTTTGGCTTTGTTGATTTTTTTCTATTGTATGTTCATTTTCTCTTATTAATTTCTCCTCTTTAATATTTTATTCTTCAAGTTATTTTATGAAGTGCTTACACATTTAGAATTGTTACCTCTTCCTGATAGTTTGACACACTTGCTATTATTAAATATTTCTCTTTATCTCTGTTTCTTGTCTGAAAGCCACACTAGGAGAGTCTCATCTACCTTTAGACTTGATTCAGTTGATTGGATGCTATACTTAAAAATCCAAATCTGATGCTGTGTTTGCTGTAATTTTATTAATGACCTTTAGCTAACCTCAGTGTCTAGTTGAGCATGATCCATTTGGGTTTTTATTTGTTTGTTTTTTGTTTGAGACTGAGTCTCGCTCTGTCACCAGGCTGAAGTACAATGGCGTGATCTTGGCTCACTGCAACCTCCATCTCCTGGGTTCAAGTGATTCTTCTGCCTCAGCTTTCTGAGTAGTTGGGACCACAGGCACGTGCCACTACACACAGCTAATTTTTGTATATTTAGTAAAGACGGGATTTCACCATGTTGGCCAGGCTGGTCTTGATTTCCTGACCTCGTGATCTGCCCGCCTTGGCCTCCCAAAGTGCTGGGATTACAGGCATGAGCCCTTGAGTTGGGCTTATTCTATCATGCTTAGGAATGCTCTTTTTATCATTAAGTAATAATACAGTTGTCTCTAGTAATGTTTGTTTTAAAATTTATTTTTCTTATTAGATCAAACTTGTGACTCATGTTATTCAAATACACATCTTTTCTAATTTTAGTCTATCTCAACTCTTGATTTCTTTTATAGCATAGCTTTTGCATGCTTTAATTTTATCTCCTTCTTTGCACTTTTTGTAATTGTATCGTTTTCTTTCTCTTGACTATTATCCATTGGCTAGTACTATGCAGTAAAGACATTTACTGCTCACGGAATAGCCATGTGCTCCACATTTTCCAGCTTCCATATAGTAGGGAACCATATGACTAGATGTGTCTTATAGGCTGTTAGTGGAAGTAGTATAAGCTACTTCCAGGATGACATATCAAGAGCAGGCATGAAATGCCCATGTATCACTTCTCTTGCTATTGGCACCAGATAGCCTATGTGATTCAGGTGGTACAGGTACACAATGGTGAAGCCTGGGTCAGGTGCCAATTCATGTTGGGCATGTAACTTGAATTAAAATAAGCTAT